TTATCACCGGGATAAAGGCTGATATTGTTGCACTGAATGGGCTTGTGGTGAGTATATGCTGTTTGTCAACCTCGTTTCTCAGGTTGTTTGAAAGGATTCTTGGATAAGTTGTGCACATTTAAGAATTTGCTTTTGAGTCAATCATGCGCTGGATTGCTGTGTGTACAAGTTCTTCCCACTGGTGAATACAAGAAGTGAAATCTATAGATTCCTTTAAGGTAGTTTGATGAAACAGTCTGCTAGCTACATTGTCCAAATCCTTCATTGTGAGGATGCAAATGAAGTAAATATATAGCTGCAGGCTTGGTAGTTCTAATTTTTCTTTTTAATATTAAGTTTTAACTAGATTTTCTAATCTGGAGTGTTGCATTTGGGACTACATTTTGTAGATTTCCTAGCCAATTTGGTTATTGGCCAGGATAGCTCAGGAATTCAAACATTTGAGTTGTAATGTAGTTAGATGAAATCCTATTTTTAAGTTAACCTGAAATTCATAAAATATACCTGTTATGTTGAAATGATACAGCAGTGTTTCAGAATAATGGAAAATGAATAGTAGAAGAGAAAAAAATCATCGGGTTAAAACAATTGAAGTGATAAACTTAGTCTTCCAATTTTCTTCCAGTGTTTGGTGAACCTCCACTGGAACGTTATTTCTTATAGAGTTACAAAACTAAAAAGACCCTTTAAATCACTACTTGCATAATTTTAAATAAGGGGAGATTTGGGGAAGAATTTAAGTAACATAAAAGACTCATGAGAAGGTAACTCTTCAGATACTATGGCTTTAAATCTAACACTTTTGATAGTGTGCACTTAGATGTACTGTTTAACAACTGACAGTATCTCCTGTAGCTGTTTTTCTTAGGCTCCTGAGCAACGGAATTGAAGTAGTAAACAGCAGTAGACCAATTAGGATATCTGATTATAACTGTGACTGTGCTATAGTAGAGAGTTTGCTGATAGAAGATCCTATCCTTGACTGGTGGAAGATGCTTCATGTTATAAAACCACATGGGCCTCCAATGAAAGCGTTGAATTTGGTCGATGACCTACCCACCACCCTGAACCCTTGTGTTAGTAGGGGAGGGGGAAACCAGTGGTGCTGCATGTGTTGTTGAATTTCAATTCCTAGCAGCTTGTGATAAAGGAAAACCAGGAGTTGAAGTTCAACATCTGCAAAGCTACAAGTTGCCCATCCCTGTCTAGGGGGAATGCAGTCACATCCCCCCTCCCCAAAAATGCTTTCCTAGACAGTGAAATGATCTGCTAAAATTGCCTTCTGCAACATGAAGCCCTCCAGATGTGTTGGTTGCAGAGTTGGGAAAGCTGTGTTAATAGAATTATGGCCTTGGTGGGACTGAGATTCAGATTATTGGTCATTTTCTTGTCCATTACTAATTCAGCATTTTATGCCTCAACTGGATTACATAGAAAAGGGATGAAATAAAAGCCATCATAAGTATAATGATGGCACTTTAGCTAATGTTTTCTAGATGCTAGAAAACAGTAGTATAAAAAATTAACAATCTTATAATACAAGACCAAAGTTGTCACACTTGTGGCGTAGAATCCAATTTTTCAGGGAAAAAATGCAACAAGATGCAGCTGAGGAAGTGGATTCTAGTTTGTGAATGCTCTACATTTTGGTCTGTTATGATTTATCATAAACAAAAAGCCCTTGGGCTGGATCCTGATTAATCATACTTAGAGAAGGTCTACCGAGGACTTCATTTTGACAAATCATAGTCAAATTTCTAATCTAAATACAACCATACTTGTATTCAATCCTTTGTTTTGGAAACACAATTACCCTTCTGGATACCATTAGCACAGGGAGGACTAAAAAAAGAAACTGAGCCCCATCACAAAAACTACAGTGTTAAGCAGTAGTTATCCTGATCATTTTCTGGAATGTTTCAGCTGGGTGGGAGTGGAAATACTAGCAAGCAAATAACCAGTTCAACATCCTATCCAAAAGGATGCCATCATAGAAGTCTAAGAGACTGACTCTTGGTATTCAAAACATTTTTTTTGTTTGTTTGCTTTAAAGAAAAAAAATCCCTGAAGTTTAATCTTAAAAGGATAAATGTCAGTCAACCAATGTTGAACTGAAATGTAATCTGTAAATCACAGATTATCTTTTGGGGTTGTGATTGTATCTGGAATGTTGGGAGTAAGCTGTGAGTATTCCTAAAAAGGCTGTCATGGCAGCTGGAGCTGGTCATGAATATCTCACTTTTTTTCCTAGCTTTCCAGGAGGCTATACCATTAAGAGGGCACATTGCCAATCATGGTCCCAGGCAGCAGCCACCTACCATTTTTGTTTTCTAAATGTCCATAGGGCTTAAGCTTGGTGGTAACAGAAAACTTAGAGGGCATGAAGGAAGTTATTTGGCAGTACCTTGATGCCTGCAGGTGCCAAGATGTCTTCTCCTGCAATAGTGACATAATTGGGGAAACAGTTACAGCCTAAAATCACCAGAGCAATATACATAAACACGGAATTCCCACTGGGCTGAAATTTTAAGATAAAATAGTTGAGACATCATTCTGATGTGGATTCCTTTTCTAGTACTTCCCATAAATTACAGTTTATCCTTCCAAAGAATCTTAATCTCATACAGAATTTCCTAGCACTGTGAACAGGGCCCAGCCCCTACTTAAATTACCCAGATGCTTCGGTCTCATACTTCCTGAATATATGTAAGATTGTGCCAACTTAGAATGTCAAAACTCAAAGGAGAAAATCGTTTGGAAACAAACCAGCAAAGTTTTGGCATTCCCAGTGCTTTCCTCTTTGGGTGTGGGGAAGGAATACTTTGATTGGATCTGTCAAACAAATATGAAATACATCGCAATTAAGGCTTACTAAACACACAGGGAGAAAATCTAAGGGAGTGGAATTCACTGCTTGACACCTTTGCAACTCTTTAAATAGAATAAGTCTTTTAGTCTGGTTTATATAGATAGTTGTTAATGTGAGTAGGGTTAGGATTTAGGATTCTTATAGTAAAAGCTAAATTTTATCTTCAGTGTAAATTGCATCAATTTGTACTCAGTTTTAATGGGTTGAATCCTGATTTCATCTTACTGTACTTCAGGTAGACTCAATGAAATCAGGATTTTTTTGGCCATTTCTCCAGTGACATCTGGTGTCTTCATAGCATCATACAGATATTGCTGAAGTGATATAAAGTTGTTCTCATTACTAGTGTGTTGGTCCAGCAATGGTTGGATGACTCCAAAAGATGCTGTAAGTTGTTAGTGAAGAAATTACCTCAGTCGCAGCTAACTTTAGGAGAATTTGACCGCTCTTTATATCTTAATCACTGGAAGTCATATCCAACAGTCCTCACTGTCTTCTGAGATATCTATAGGCATTCCTCAAGCACCTTAAAGCATCCTGCTTAAAGCTTTAGAAACTTGGTGAGATATTTTGAATGGTGAGTCTCAAACATTTGCTGTCTCTGAATGCAGCATCATTCTGCCTTTTTCAATATTTCTATTTGCATATCTGTCCTATCTGTCCTATCTATAAAACCCTTTATAGTCAGATAAGTGAGTTAATATGCATTTTTTTAATATGAAGTACATTGTTCCAGTGCAGACATTAAATCTGAAGAGGGAATGGGTCCTGCAAACTTAAAATACAGAAGCTAACCTGCTTGCTTAGTTGCTTCTAGGATTGGGGATGAAGGATGGGTACCTTGCTCAGCTTCTCTGTGCTTCGGTGGATTTTGAAATTGTTAAAAATAGGGGTGGGGGAAAGGATTTTGTAGAGTACTGCTGGGGAGCAAGGATATGAAAGCACTCATACATAGTTGCTCCCTTTTGGAACTACAGAAACACCTCTTCAGACTCTCTTCATTTTTTTTCTCCAGCGTAAAGCATTTGGCCTTGGCAGTGACACAGAACTGATGCTGATACAGAAAATCCTGGGAGTTGAGGAAGCTGATGTCTCCCATTGCCGGCAGGACCCCTGTGACATGGTTAGTAGCAACACCCATCTAATTATGGCCTGCAAGTATGTTCCCCTCAACGCAGGAAGTACTAGGGCAGCAGCAGGTAATTTTGTAAGGAATCGTGGGAATATTTGGAGTTTTGAGAGCATCTGTGGGTGTTCTCACAAATTGGCTACCTATGTGCTGTTCGTAAAATGGCTACTAAGACTAAGCATGAGTAGCCTTCCTTATAAGCAAGCTGGTAAGGATGTTTCTTATCCCTTCTAGGTTCTCAGGGTCCTTTTTACCCAGATTGGCTTTATCTTTTTTTCTAGCTGGTGACTGTTCTCTCAGACAAAACACCGGGCTCTAGTCACCGACCATTTTTAATTTCCTAAAAAAAAATGCTTTTGGGGTATATTTGGTTCCCAGAGGCATTCTTGTAAGTAAAGATAATGCTAAAAGCTGGCACTTGCTTTACCACAGGCCTCCTTCCCATTTTTTTTTCCTTTTTGCTGAAGGAAAATAAATACCTTTAAAAGAAAATGAGGTGAAACAGGGGGTCTGGGCTGGTGCCCAGGGGGATCTCTTCCTGTTTTAATGTTAACAGTTGACAGGGTAACCCTGCGATGTGTAGAAAGACTCTTGGAAGTTGTATTATCCACAATCGGATATTATGTAAGCACTGCAGGCAGACCTAAGCAGAAATAAAGCAGTACAGGTTTTAAGCCAGCAACTGCACTCACCCCTACAAATCACCCACCCACCTAGCAGCTCTTCTTTGTGAGCGTGCTACATAAACTCTCTTGTTGACTCTATTCTTTCAGGTTTTTTTCATATCCACCATATCAAGAATGTGCACCCTGTCTTGTAGGTCCATGTAATACCAGCTCACCACCTAAATCACTATCTTGATTTCACTGGGGATGAAATAGTTGCATGTATTGTCAGTGGCCACTGTTTCCTCTATTACTAATCATCTTAAACATAACCAACCTTTTTAATGGCATTCCCACCCCCAAACGTGCAATATTTCACAATCTTCCTATAAATTGTTCCTCTTCCTTCAAGGAAGTGCACTCAACTTCTTGACGAGTGCTTAATTTAGATTTGGCCATTAGTTCTTCTGGTGTCAAATTCAACTTTGAAATCTTTGTTATTCCTTAACAAGGTGTGGTGGCATTGAATATGTAACATGAACCCTAACCAGTAATGAAAGCCCATTGTGCACGTATTCTAATTTTACTTTGCATCTGCCTTGGTCAGATCCTAGTTCTAAAATGTGTTCTGAGCTTGAGTCTAATTTAAAAAAAAACAAAAGACCTTAGTTTCAGAATGTGTGTTTGACATGTCCCTCCAATATGATAATCTTGGGATACCCAATATCTTCAGAGAAGAACATTACAAAATAGGTAAATATCACTGATAACAGCATTAAGAAAAAATTCCCCTGTCTGTTTTTCCAGCAAATATTTCTTAAGAGTCTATAGACTCAACTGTGGGTGCATGGAAATCTGGAGCAACCATATAGATAGGTTATCTACATCTATTTTATTGTTTAATAATTAAAATGTATGGTTATTCAGAAACATATTTTTCTGCTTTTATGACTTTATTCATTTTTCCACCCTTAATCTATCAATTCCTAGTATCTCCCTGGCCGGTCATTGGTTAAAATGGTAGGGAAATGGAGTCATTCTTTATTTTTCTGTTTATTCTTCATTGCTTAATTTATACCAGCAGAAATCATTTTATTCATATTTATCCAAATTAGGCCAATTCTAACATTTCATCCTGGGTAGTGTCACTGTTTCCTTACTTCTAATCTCAATTGCAGTGTACACTGCTTTCTACTGTTGCATAGCAGAATCAGGTTTGTTTTCACAGTATGCGTGCATTTTCTTGTGGAAATAACTTTATTCTTAATTTCAATAATCCCGTCCACTTTTTGGAGAATGGAGCCTGACTTGCTTCTCCAAAGCTTCTGTGTTCCTCAACACAGTGGAAGTTGTACAGCACCACTGTAATCAAATAACAATTTTACTGAAATTGGAGTAAGAAAGGAATGCATAATAACTTTTCTCCCTTCCCCATTATATCTGTTTCATGCAGGAAGGATGCTTCAATCAGATACTGGCAGGCCTCCAAACCTACTCTGGCTATCTCTCACACGTTAGCCAAATCCTAACAACTTACACTGACCGAGTAGTTAATGTTCAACTGGATGTTTCTAACTTGTCTTCCAACATTCAACGGCAGGTGAGAAGTTGCATAAATACTCTTAGGTTGAGAAAGGAACAGAGCCAGGTAGTGAGGAGAAACCACCCAGCTCTATGGGAGTGACAAAATGAGTGTGTGAATATGCTATAATTTAGCAGATCACCTATCTGGACCTTAACAATTCTCTCTTGGTGGATGTTGATGAACTAGGAAGACGAGACTCCAAACATTGCAAATATGAAGGTTGGGCAGTACTTTAGATTCAGTTTCCAAAGGATACTTTTGAGCACATGGAGCAGGAATGTAGCACCTGTTGCAACACTTCAAAGGCTTTATCTTTTTCTGGGATCACACAGCTGTGAAAGGTAGCCCCATGTTCCTGGGAAAGCCTGTGGCTCATCCCTGCTATTGAAAATGGGTTATTTTCATGTTCTAGAGCACTTCTTGAATATCATATCCAAAGTGCTCTACGGCCCTGGTAGTTGCAAGATGCACGATACTCCATCATCACAGAGAAGCCATACCTCTATGGCTTGGTGGGTGCTTTTGAAGGGGATCTGAGAAGCAGACTACTGCTTCAGCACCTCAGTTATCCTGCAGAAACAGCACTTTTGGCCATGATTTTTAATTAGTGGCCCCACTTCACCTTCAACAATAATAGCAATGGAGGTTATTTCTGAACAACTCCATATCCAGTCTTGTGAAAGGAAGGGGGCTTCTGCTTTGCCTTGGTCATATTGTAAGCATAAATGTCCAAATAATACCTTAAGTCATTTCTCTTTGTATTGTGCATAATCCTAGTGCCTAGTTTTTGCACACCTTTCTACTGTATCTTATACAGTATGGGCATTTTTCCTATTCATGGATTAATCCTAACACACATGATCTGCAGCCTGTGAGCTGTGGGCCATGTAGAATTGTTGCTGCAACTATAGTAGGGCAGACAGCAGGGATATGTGCATGCATGAGGAAGTAAATGCATCTGTGTGGATTATTTTGCTTACATCGGCTCAAAATATATTTATGAGCATATGCCTTGACCTATTGCTGCTTATGGAGCAAAAATGTTTCTCTGCTTTTTTGGAGGCATTGGGACCATGCAACGTTATATCCCATTATCTCTTGCCATGGTGCACACAACCTACTTATTTAAAATAAGGTTACAGATGGAGGGGACTTGAGGACATGATGGTGCAACATTGGCTGCAATAGCATTGATCGAAAAGTAACATTCCAAGAATCACTTTATGTGAGATGGGCAGCTATATAAATACGATAAACAAACATGCAGGCCTGATTTGGATGCTGCTGGAGTTAATATGCAAGTGTCAATTATTAATGTGAGACTCCATCTTCCCCTAATCTTTTCTCCTCTTCAGATGGAAGAAAGCAGCCTGACCAGCGTTGTCTATCCTCAGGCAGAAAGTGTGCCTAAATTTGTGGAAGTTCAAAGAGAAATTGGAAGCTACCTGGTCCTCCGCAATCTCCAGAAATTTATGGACGAGATTTTCCGGGCCCTAAGGCACTGTGGTTCATGAGAGGAATCTATGGAGTATTCTCCCCAAAGACCTTGAAGCTGAGGTAGTTCTGTGTGCAAAAGGAAGCCCTAAGACTTGCTTTTACTGACAGGACTGTTTTGACTGGTAGTATTCCAGCTTCTCTGTCTTTGTGCTTAATTTATTTTAATTTTTATAAACTCTTTTTTACTGAAAGTAGCAGACAATAAAATCCAAATAAATTCAGCTCTAAGGGAAATAAAATATTAGCTGGATTTGTACAACATGCTAGATTAGACTAAAATGGGTCAGGTTGCTTGAGGTTCAGCATGTTGTGAAAACCCAGCCATTGTCTTGTACAGTATTGTGAACACTGCCATCCTGTTAAGTTGTAATATGTTTTAAAACTGACTGTTTTAAGGTTTTATAAATTAGCATTTACTTCAAATGAATATTGGTACAATATTGAGAGAAGAGCATCTTACATGTACATGAGAGTTTGGAGATGGGAAAATTTGCCTTCAGAATCTTTCAGAGGCTGATATTAGGAATCTCTCACCACTTGAGAGGCTACTACAGTTAAAAATTCAGTTGTTTACAGTTGATAGTGATTAAGATGTATGAAAAATGGAAAGATTTCTTTTCAAATATCTTAAATACTTTGTAAGGTAACAGCTTTGGGCAAGATTGTTCAGAAATGTACTCTTCCCGTGATGGCAAGTTCCCAATTCACTCATGCTGCTCCTCCTCTCTCTGATGAAATATCACGGTGGTCAGTTTTTAATAGGTTGTTAATGACTTTCTTTTAATTTATTAGCTTATTTAATATTTATAGTGTCAGTGTTGAATCCTGAATTTGGACTTGAGTACTATTTATTTAATATTTATACCAATACTGTCAGATTAACAGAAAACCGTTGTTTAGGTTTCAGCCTTTCTTGAGCGCATGGTTTGCAGTGCTATAGCCTTGTGTGGCATGTATGTTTGAGGTACATACAATGTTGAACTACTGTTTAATATTTAAACATAAGAGTACTAGCTGGTGGTAGCTAGACCAAACTATGAGATGAAATATAAGGGAAGTTTCCAATTCCTGTCTTTATTAATGTTTGGGGCATACAGTACAGTCTATGTCCTTACCATTTTTACAGATGGGAAATAGGCCACAGGCATGCGTAGCCTCTTCTTGGAAGAGGTTCTGTTCATAACTTCTACCATCCTCTATCCTTAGTCATGCTATCAGGCATAAGGTCGTTGTAGCATAAAACGTTGAGCAGCCCCCAGGCTGCTTAGCCCTGCTTCATGTACAGTAATTCTGGTCCAAAATAAATTTTTGACTGAAGTACAGTAGTAAATGGCACTCCCTCTGCCAATGTGCTAGACCAGTTCCTGCCATTGCTGAGCCACCTATGTTGGCTCTGGCATCTTCTCTGTAAGGGCCTGGTGGTAGAGGCAGACAGACCAATTCTAACAAGGCCAAGAGGTTAAGATGATACAATTTCAAGCTTTAAAATTTAGAAGCATACAGTGTTAAGTTGCTGTGGAATCCTATGTAGCAGTGATTATTTAATAATTATGGATTTTATTTTGTTACATTGGAATTTAGTTATAATTTAAATGATTTGAACACAAAGTTAAAGAGCCATTCGAGTTGCACTCAGTTCCTAACTACTTGAATTCTATGTTTCTTTATTTAAATGCAGTCATTTGCCAAAACTGATGCTGATTTCTGTGGAATCCCATTGTATTTTGGGTTCAAAATGGTTTTACATTTTGGGAGAGAGTTATAGAAGATTTCAATCTGGGCTAATTGTGCTTCTGTTCAAAGTTCACACAGAACTCTTGTTCAATTTCTCCAGCTGCTAGTATCTACTCCAACAGAATGTATTTGAAATTATACTGCTTGAAAATTCTATAGTATGAGTATCTTGAATCTTGTTCAAAGTAGCAGTTTCATCAAAGCCTTTGACAACTTTTATTTTCTGAATGCTGTTTCATTGTGTTCAGTTGTGGCATAGCCATTACATGCATACAGTTCTATTTGAGGTCAAATGTCAGTATTCCTGTTGAATCTGTAAGTTTCTTTGAAGAGGCGAGAAATAAATTGTAAACGGTTACATTTAAGCTGTAGCTATTTGATCATGACACTAAATATAATTTTAAATTTTGATCTATTTTTAAATAAATTTCCTATTATAGCAATCTTTACATTGTTATTTTCATTTTTCTAAGCTTCTTTGAAAATGAATTTGATTTATGATGTGAGGAATACATAAAGCTACAATTGCAATTAAAAAAAAATAGGTGTCACATGCTGACCAGTATAGAAGACATCAGTGTTAATCAGCAGGTGACTAGCAAGTAGCAATTGAAGTAAGAGGACTGCTAGTTGCTTTTATGCTGGGACAGACTCTTCGTGGGGAAGCATCTTTGGGTCCCTTCCACATCACCACTTTCACCTCCCAATCCTTATATATTTCAAAGCTGACCACTGCTTACCCTCATTGCCACTAATCTCAAAGTACCAAGAGTATCTGGGAGTTGAAGTCCACCCGTCTTAAAGTTGCCAAGGTTGAGAAACCCTGGTGTAAGAGATGAATGGTGACTAATGTCCCCACATTAGGAACAAAGAAAAGCTTCCAACTACTCTCCTCTGGTCCAAGTTGTTCACACTATGCGTGGCATTCGGTGCTTGCTTTTTTTTTTTTTTTTTTAAGCCTTTGCTGTGGGGATGTAGCTAGTCCTCTGGTCTAAGACAGCCAAGAAATTACTTTAACAGACACAGAGATAAACAGCATCTACATACTATTCAAGAGAGATAAAAGACCAGAAGATCGAGTCACCAGCAATCACCCAGATAAGCAAAGGTTACCACCAGGCACACAATCAAGCAGTAAATGTATGCTAATCAAGGAACTACCAGAGGAGCAAAACAAAACCCCCACCAGCACTGGCAAGGCATGCCACAGTATATAAAGAGAGCAAACCCCAACCCATTTTAGCACTGAAGATGTTACCTAGCCAGCTAATGAAACATTTGCAAGAAAAGAACCAAGCTCAGAGAACCCCAAGGACTCCACAAATTACTTTCAGTGGCTAAACCTGTTCAGGGTGGGGGGAACAGCCCAAGAGCCAGGGTAAGGCCAGGATCCCCACCAATACAGGAATAGCCTACCCTAACGCTCCTTAGGGGTCCAGTGTTTTCACTGAGATCAGTTCCTAATGAATAAAGAATGGAAATAAATCAGCCACCAAACAAAAACAATGGTGTGAGACCACATGGACCCTGAGCTGGTCCTGGAGTAGTACAAGCCCCAAGGATGGAGGTACTCCCAGTATAAGTGGAATTCTTCAAAATACAAATACATGCATATGTTCCATTCTAATTTAAACAATCTTTTACTGAAGTACATTGAAAAAAAATCTCATATCTCTACTGAAAACCACGAAACAAGCTTCTATCATTTGCCAACCAGCAGATTGTGAGATTATAATCTATCATATCTGGATCGCATATTGGAGAAGGCGGCCCAAACACTTTCTCCAGCCAATATAGTTTAAAAGCTGTTCCAATTGTGCAGTATCCTGGCACCAAATTTATGAAAAACTTACCTGCCAATGCAGTAGGGATTAAACAGGATTAAAGGGCCTTCTATATCCAACACAGAAGAATAAAAGCTGGCTATCAGGAAGAAAAAAGGAATGAAAAAAGTAGAAGTTGAGAAAATAAGAGATTCTGGTGAAATCGAATTTTATTAGTTTTAAGGGCACGCTTGTCTAAAACTTATCAGGAGTAGTACTAAACATTTAAATGTATAGCAAGTTGATTCTTACACGATTAGTCATGTGGCCAGAGCTTATGTTATTTTGGAGCTAAGGCAGAAGTGAAAGGCAAGGGTGGATTCAAATGGGCATTGTATCCTGTCAGGATGATGACTATCTCACATGCAGAGAAGACATGACCCAACTTGTCCATTTGAGTCTACTGTCCCTTAAAAATGGGTTGACTCTTGTTATGACAGAGCTTCCTAGCAATCAGTTTCCATATGCTCCTGAGCACAGTGCAATTCAAAGTTGTGGTACTACTGTGTTTTTTTTTTCTTTTGGGGGGGGGGAAGGAGTTGCTTAGGAAGAATATGATGTGCTATTATATAAGCTGAAAAAAAATCAAACTAGATAGTTGTATATCATACTAACTCTAAAGTTGACTAGATAAGGATCTTTTACACTTTTATTAGAAAATGGCAAAGCAGCAAGGGGAAATGGAAGGAAGTCCTACTTTGTTACAAGAGATTGATGGGCACATTGGGATTTTTTAAAAAAAATTACATGAAATGCACAGGAATGGAATGTTGATAAGCAAAAGTTTGGAGTAAAACAAAAACAAAAAAATCACATTAGCAGCTGAAGTATTTAAGCACCCCAAACTAATGGCCTTTCTAGGAGCTCTTGCTTCTCCCACAGATATGTAGTGCATGAATGGAAATGGTGGAATATAGGATCTACCTCAAACACCTCCACACACTTAATTGTCAAAGTACAAAGGACAAGAATTTTATTAAAGACACACAAGGCAATCTGAAGGTCCTTATGAACTAACTGGAGCCAAAAATGATTGATACTTTTGAAATTAATAAAGCATCTCATGGATCAAGAGAAGGAATAGAAATTGAGATGATCTCTGTTGCCTTTGCCTTTTCATTATTTTTAATAATTTAATAGTCTTTTCATAAACAAAATATAATCTTCATGCTAGTTCATGCTCAATAAACATTTTGTTAATGACAGCCAAAGTTCAGTTTATAAAAAGGGCCCACCTCCAGTCCTGGATTTGGGCCACCCTTGGAAAGCCACTCTATCAAATTTGGTATAACTGCATTAGACAAGTCCATGAACCATATAACCATGAAGAAGAAATCCTGCACAAATTCCATGAATGGCACAAAATTTACTCAGCCCCTGCTCATGCTGGCAAGATTTGGATAAACATACATACAGCAAATCAGGCCTGCTTTTAAGAAGTGGGAAGGTAAAGGATGTGT